TGTACTCCATCTGTTCATCCTTCACTCCTGGCAACCAGTGATCTTTTTACTGCCTCCATAGTTTTGCCTTTTCTGGAACGTCATATGTTTGGAATCAACAGTATGTAGCCTTTCAGATTGGCTTCTTTCACTTAGAAATATGCATTTAATTTTCCTCCATGTCTTTTCGTGGCTTGACAGATCATTTCTTTCTAGTGCTGGATAGTATTCCATTGTCTGAATGTACCACAGTTTATCCATTCACCTACTAAAGAATATATTCGTTTTTTCAAAGTTCTGGCAATTATAAATAAAGCTGATATAAACATCCACGTGCAAGTATTTGAATGGACATAAGTTTACAGCATCTTTGAGTAAGTACCTTGTAATGCAACTGCTGGAACATATGGTAAGAGTTTTTTATTTTTATTATTTTAAGATGACCGGTACGGGCATCTTAACCCTTGACTTGGTGTTGTCAGCACCACGCTCTCACAAGTGAGCTAACCGGCCATCCCTATATTGGGATCCGAACCCGTGGCCTTGGTGTTATCAGCACCACACTCTCCCAAGTAAGCCATGGGCCAGCCCAATAAGAGTATTTTTACTTTTGTAAGAAACTACTAAAATGTCTTCCAAAGTGGCTGTAACATTCTATGGATTTCTGCAATGAAAGACAATTCCTCTTGCTCCACATCCTTGTCAGCATTTAGCTTTGTCAGTTTTCTGGATTTTGGCCATCCGAATAGGTGTGTAGTGGTGATTTTGGCCATTTTGATAGGTGTGTAGTCGTGTGGGTGCGTAGCCATCTGTATATCTTCTTTGATGAAGTGCCTGTTTAGGTCTTTGGTCCAGTTTTTAATCAGGTTGTTTTCTTATTTTTAGATTTTAAGAGTTCTCTATATTTTGTTTCTTTTCTTTTAAAGTTTTAATTTTATTTTACTCAATTTTAATTTTATTGTGATAAAATATACAAAACATAAAATTACCATTTTAGCCATTTTCAACTGCACAGTTCAGTGGCATTATGTGCAATCACACTGTTGTGCAACCATCACCACCATCCATCTCCAGAACTTTTCCATCATCCAAACTGAAATTCTGCATCCATTAAAACAACTTCCCACACCCTCTTCCCCTCAGTCTGTTTACCACTACTCTACTTTCTGACTCTATGAATTTGTTGACTATTCTAGGTACTTCATATAAGTGGAATAATATAATATTTGTCTTTTTGAGTCTGGTTTATTTCACTGAGCATAAGGTCTTAAAGGTTCATCCGTGCTGTAGCATGTATCAGTACTTCCTTCTCTTAAATTTTTATTTTTTTAATTTTAACACTTATTTCTACATCTTTATAGGGTTCAAGGTGGTGTTTTAATACAGGCACATACTGTATATTAATTCACTTAGGGTAAGTAGCTTAGCTGATGGAGTTTGGATGTGTTCTCCCCTCCAAAACTCAGGTGGAAATCTGATCTCCCAATGTGGCACTGTTGGAAATTGATTCGAGTGAATGCAATATTCCAGTGTAGCTTTACTAGCACCAGGAGGAGAAGTTATTTTTTTTTAAAAATAGACTTTGTTTTTTAGAGCAGTTTTAGGTTCACAGCAAAGTTGAGAGGATCTCTCTCTCTCTCTCTCTCTCTCTCTCTCTTCCTCTCTTGCCATGTGATCTGCTTGTACCCGCCGGCTCCCTGCCACTTGCCACTTTCCACCATGAGTAGAAGCAGCCTGAGGCCCATGCCAGAGGCAGCTGTCCCAGAATTGTAAGCCTAATAAACCTCTCTTCTTAATAAATTACCATTTCACGTATTGTTATAGCTACACAAAACGGACTAAAACAATAGCTTTGTACCTGTTAATCTACCAGTCCCCTCCACCACACTCACCCCAACCCTCCCTTCCACCCTGGGCCTCTGGTAACCAATATTCTACTCTCTACTTCTATAAAAGTCACATTTTTTTAGCTTCCACATACGTGGTGTTTGTTTTTCTGTGCCTGGCTTACTTCACTTAAAATGATGGTCTCCAGTTCCACCCATGTTTGCTGCAAATGACAGGATTTCATTTTGTTTTATAGCTGAATAGTATTCCATTGCGCATATATAATATAGGTTTTTTTAATCCATTCATCCGTTGATGGGCATTCAGGTAGATCCCATCTCTTTGCTATTATTAATAGTGTTTCAATGAACATGGGAGTGCAGATGTCTCTTTGATATACTGGCTTCATTTCCTTTGGGTATATACCCAGTAGTGGGATGGCTGGGTCATAAGTAGTTCAATTTTTAGTTTTCCGAGGAACCTCCATACTGTTTTCCAGTATGGCTGTACTAATTTACATTCCCACCAATGAGGTAGTTCCTTTTTCCCAACATCCTTACCTGCATTTGTTATTTTTCTCCCTTTGATAAGAACTATTCTAACTGAAGAAAGCTATCTTGTTGTGATTTTAATTTGCATTTCCCTGATGATTAATGATGTTGAGCATTTTTTCATGTGCCTGTTTGCCATGTGTATGTCTTCTTTTGAAAAAGGTCTGTTCAGGTTCTATGCCCATTTTTTAATTTGGTTGTTTTGCTGTTGAGTTCTTATATTCTTTAGATATTAGTCCCTTGTCTAATATGTAGTTTGCAAAGACTTTCTCCCATTCTGTACCTTGTCTCTTCACTTTGTTTATAGTGTCCTTTGTTGTGCAGAAGCTTTTTAGTTTGATGTAGTCCCATTTATCTATTTTTGCTTTAGTTACCTGTGCCTTCGTAGTCTTGTTCAAAAAAGCACCGCCTACTCTCATTTTGTGTAGCATTTTCTCTGTTTTCTTCTAGTAGTTTCATTGTTTCTGCTCTTAAGGGCTCAGTGTCTCACAAACCCATTGTGGGTACCTAGGTCTTCGGTTACAGGTTCACATTCTGTAGCAGGTTTAGATGTCGAATGCCCACAGCACCGGGATCTGTAGCTGAGGCCCTCCTGACAGCTTGGGCTCCGTTAGCTGTGACTCTGACCCTGGCAGGCTGAGCACAGCACTAGCTCGACTCTGGGGGAAAAGGGTACTCTGGAAGTTTGGACCTGGGGAGCAGAGTACAGCTGCAATTTGAGAACCACAGCAAATGGGGCTCAGTTGTCACTCAGTTCCCAGGGGATGAGGCACCTTGTAGTGAGGACTCTAGCTCCTGAAACGGCGGGACTCAGCACTATCTCAGTCTTCTGAGGCCAGGTGCAGTGGCATCAAGAACCCAGAATGGAGAGGTGCAGCTTTTGGGGCTTCGGGGGGAAGGGAGCAGCATAGTGCTGACTTCACTCCCTGGGGGAAGGGATTTCTCAGCAGCTCCATCTGTAGGTAACGGTCCAGCTCCAGGGATGCAGAGTACCAGAGTTGTCCAGCCCCTAGAACAAGGTGTCTCAGCTCAGCCACTGCTCTGTTTCCCTAGGATGTGAGGCAGAACATCAGCTCAGCCCTGCAATACCCAGCTGCTTAGCTCAGCCAAGCAGCTTCTCAAATAAGACAGCAATTCCCAAGGGGCAATGCACCCCTTCAGCTCAGTCTGCAGGTGGACTGGGAGGGGTAGTTTAAGATTCCCCCAAAGGGAGTGTGCAGCTTTAGTTCTAGCATGAGGATGAGGGCACAGCTACCATCCCCCCAACCCTGGACACCCCCCCTGCAACAGTTCCAGTTCTAAGAAGGTGAAGAAGGCTTGTGAGCCACAGAGGGTGGGGTACAATGTCATCTCCTTTAGGGGAGCACAACTGTGTAGACTCCAAGCAGCTCCTTCAGCTGGGCTGTATTTCAGATTTTTATCGGATATGTCTTTTGCAAATATTTTCTCCAAGTCTGTAGCTTGTCTTGTCATTCCTTTGACAGTTTCTTACGTGGCAGAAATTTTTAATTTTAATGAAGTCCAACTTATCATTTGTTTAGTTCATGGGGCATGCCTCTGGTGTTGTCTAAAAAGACACCACCAAACACCTGCTTGGTGTTCTCTGAGCTTTCTGGATCTGTGGTTGGATGTCTGACATTAAATTTGGGAAATTCTCACTCCTTGTTCCCAATATGTCTTCTGTTACTTTCTTTCTTCTCTTTCTGGTATTCCCATTATAGATATATTACACCTTTTGCAGCTCTTCCATGGTTCCTGAATATTCTGTTCGGTTTTTATTCTTTTCTTTTTATTGAATCAATTGATTATACATATTTGGGGCATTCGACATTGACACATGTTGATCAAATCAATATTACTAGCATATATATTGTAACAAATCATACTTATTCTTTATACTCTTGTTCAATCTCTCCCCCTTACCCTCTCCCTCGCCCTCCCCCCTCTAATTACCATAGATTTCTTCTCTCCTTTTGAAAGAGTAATGGTTATTCTGTTGATTTGTTCCCTAGATGATCTGTCCAATGCTGAGAGGTGTGTTCAGGTCCCCCAGTATTACTGTAGAGCACATGCTTCTTCTGTCACTATGGAATAAGCTTTGTGGACAGAGACAGCCTCTTCTTTTCTTTTGTCTCTGATGGTGACTCTCCTTGTGTCAATGCACTCCAAAGGCTGGCAGACCATCTGCATTGTGGTTGTGGCATCTAGCTGCTTTCGTGGCAGCCGTGGTTATTGTGGTGGCTGTAGTGGGCCACCCACATGTAGGTGATGTTTTTGGCATGCATACCTAGTTGGTAGTGCCAATGGTGGTGTGCCTGGTTGTGGGAGGGGGTCTGGTCCCCAGATCCATGCCTCAGGACCCAAGGAAGGCCCCATGGCACTAGCGGTGTGCCTGGTTGTGGGTGGAGGGTCCCTGTTCTTTTTTGTTTGTTTGCTTGTTTTCACTCTTTTTTCTCTTCTCTTTTTACTTTTGAGACATTCTTTCTGAACTGAACAGTCATCCTTCCCTAACATGAGGGACAGAAGTAATGGCATATACTTCCAACCATCCTAAAGTATCCTGTAAAATAGAAATGTGGTGAAAATGAAAGAAAAAAGGCCAATAGGGAAATGTTGACCATTAATGGGCCTTGGTCTTATCCTGTGATTTCTTGGGTGTCCATTTTTGCCTCTCCTTGCACTCTCACCACGTGGAGATACTCAGTGGGACCTGTTTCTTCCGAGAACCACCGTCAATATTAGCAAGAGAAAACCTTCTTTTATAGATATTTCATTCTGCATAACCCAAAGGATCCAAGGCCTTTTATGGAGCTGAAAACTGGATGGAACTGAGTGAATTTCTGAGTGTCTGGAGACACAGTAGAAAGGAGAGGAGGACATGGGAGGGAGACCAGAAAGAAGATATTGACTAACACACTCAGTAAGAACTCACAGATGACTTGAGAGGCAAAATAAATAACTACTTTTACTATAATCGGGATTAGCTAATAGTAAGACATTCTTTCTGAACTGAACAGTCATCCTTCCCTAACATGAGGGACAGAAGTAATGGCATATACTTCCAACCATCCTAAAGTATCCTGTAAAATAGAAATGTGGTGAAAATGAAAGAAAAAAGGCCAATAGGGAAATGTTGACCATTAATGGGCCTTGGTCTTATCTTGTGATTTCTTGGGTGTCCATTTTTGCCTCTCCTTGCACTCTCACCACGTGGAGATACTCAGTGGGACCTGTTTCTTCCGAGAACCACCTTGATACAGTTGTTGGTGAAGGTGCAGAGCAAGATCCCTCCACACATTACCTACAATGTTACGAGAGTGCAGGGAACTGCTCCTGCTGGCAGGTGACTTGCATACAGCCTGCGGTTCATTGTGCAAAAATGTTCTTAACTCCAATAGCTTTAATTCTGTTTTCATTTTTGTATACAGTATGTAGGTAAGAAACACGGATCCACCCTGTACTGCTAAGGAGACATGATTAACAAAAGAGAAAAGAGAAATGCACAAAATTCCTAATCCTCTAGAGTGACAACCATTTTGCCCATTTTCCTTCCTAGAAGAAGATGTCTTCCCCACCCCTAAAGGAGTTATAGAACAAAAGAAAGAATAAGCAGTCAAAGGGCATTGCATTAATTTCCATACAACTGCACATATTTTAAAATCATTTGATAGAATACCTCCACTTCAATGATGTCATCCAATGACCCCAACAAAAGAATTATTTCAATGTCTTGAACTCTGCAATCAAGCAGCATGTTATGTTTCTCTAATCGTTTCTTTTCCAGAGAAGTCTGAATGATTACAACTTCTTTTTGCAACTTTCCCATTTCCCTATAAATACACAGATATGAAAGTGATTTTACTCATTGTGTAAAGTAGCACCAAGGAAGAAAAATGTATGTTATAAACTTCCATGACAAAATATTTTTTCCTGTTAGTGCTATAAGCTCTAGAATTCTCTCATTGATGCTACTAATTTACAAGTTAACACTCCTGCAAAAGGCCATAAATGTAATTAGTTAATCCAAGGGAACATTTTTCAATAATAAACATTACTGCTTTAATCAGGGTTAACAAATATACAGTGCTTTCCTAGTTACTTTATTTTTAAATCTGTATAATTTTTCAAGCTGCACTTTTCCCTTAAATATAAGCTCTACATTTTAGAATCTCAAACCAAGACAAAACATCTCTTAGCAAGAAAAATGTCTTACCAAGTTAGTTATTACACACCTACTAATCTGAAGTTTCTTTACCACCACCACCACTAATGTAAGGCCTTCTATCTGAAAGTAAGGGCTTGGGTTTTACCAGCTGAAACAATGTGGGATTTTAAAGGGACCTAGAAAGAGGACAGGGTGGAGGAGAGCGAGAGAGGGAGGGAGGAAGAAGGAAGGAAGGACTATGGTTTTCAAGAATAGGAAAATGAACAAATGAGTTTGTTTAAACTAAATACAAGAGTAAAAAAATCAAGAGTAAGCAGACTTTAATTCTACTCAGGAATCTTAGAAAAAGAACTTTCTGAAACACTGAAGATCTTTGGACAGTGAGGAAAATTGTGAAATGCCGTGAAGCTGAGCAAAAACAGACTCATTTCATGTGATCACCCATGGTCGTGTCCATCCTACAGGAAAGCAGATGTCATTCTGGTACAACATGCCAGCCGATTCAAAGTGCCATCGCGATCATGGCTAATGTATGTTCATCGTGTTCCAGGCACTATTCTAAGTGCCATATGAATATTAACTCATTTAATCCTCACAGCATTCTATGAGGTAGGCACTATTATTATCCCATTTTACTGATGAGGAAAGTAAGGCATAGTATGCAAGTAGCAGAGCTGGGACGTGACACCAGGCAGTGTGGCTCTACATTCTACTCTCTGACCCTGGGTGCTGTGTTGCACAGACTACAGGGAATCTCTGTACAGCAGGAAGATACCAGTATCAAGAGGGATTGAAGGTAAGGGACTCTATACAGGTTCATGTTTTCATCCACCAAAAAGGATTATTTACTCTAAACAACTAACCACCCCTCTTCATTTTCCCCCAAATTAGAATATTGGGGCTGGCTGGTTAGCTCAGTTGGTCAGAGCACGGTGTTATAAAACCAAAGGGTTTGGATCCCCATTCCAGCCAGATGCCAAAAAAAACCAAACCCAGAATGTTTGAAATTTCATATCGATGGTATGCATGTTTAGAACTCTGGCTAGGTCTTTGCAATTGATGAATTCTTAATTACCTTTCAACAGCCAAAAACTTCTTCTGTTCCTCTTCAAGTTGAGTTTCAACTTTGTCAATGTTGGAATTCTGAGTGACAAGTATGTCTGTAAGTTGCTGCCGCTTTGCCATGAGTTCAGCCACGATTTGCAGACAGTTTTCTTCAGTCTGAATGGAGAGGAATTGCATTGTAGATTTACTATCTTTTATGTGAATAAGGTCAATAGATTACCGTATTACCAATAAAACCAAACCATTCGTTCCACGATAAGTCTCCTTATTCTGTGTGCTGCTTGAACCTCTATCACAGATTGTGCCACACTCTCATTCTACACTTTTGGAAACTGGTAATCACTACCTGCCTTCATCCTTCATTTGGATTCATTCCTCAGCTCACTGCTATTTGACTTCTGTTCCCATTGTCCAGTGAAAGTGGTCGTCATAACCTCTAATACGAAATTAAACAGACATTTTCCTGACTGTACCTTTTTGACACCCTTCATCACATCCTCCCTTCTGAAACTCTGGGGCTTCTATGATACTACCTCTTCTGGCTCTCCTCATAACCTAACTGGTCACCTTCCAGAATCCCATCGTTGTTCCACTGCTCTGCACTACCTACCTCCCTGCTTGGGAGTCTCAACCATTCTCATATGGTTTCAATTTACTCTCATAACCAGCAACTCCCAAATCTGTATCTCCAGCCTAGACTTCTCCCCTTATCTACGTACTCTTTAACTACCTGCTGGAAATTGCTATCTAGATGTTACAAAGGGAATTCAAGCTCCAAGGGTCCAGAATTTTCTCTCCTTAACCTGAATCTACCATCACCAATCATCCAGGTTAGAACTTAGCAGTCATTGGTAGCATCCCCTTTGCCTTTTCTCCCACTTCGACATCCAATAATTCATGAAGCTCTGCTGATTTTAAGTTTTCGCAAATCTGCCCCCCACTCCTTCTATCACTATTAGGACACTTCAGGAGCTCAACATGTTTATTCAAGGAAGGATGTTATAATTTCCATAGAGAGGCACTTCAGCCACCCATTATTACCTTCTTTAGGTTATCGATGTCTTCTCTAGCTTTCTGGATAGTTTCTTTTAATGTGTTGGTGTTTTTCAGTTTCTCCTTAAGCTGATTGCGACTATATTCCAGTTGAATATTAAGCCGAGATTTTTGTTTTTCAAATTCTAATCTAGTATAATAAAGTCAAGCATTATAAATGGTAAGCAGAGTACATTGATTTTTTAACTTTTTCTTATGGAATTTTCAAAACAATACAAAATTGGGAGGAAAAGTATAATGAACCCCCTTGTAGCTCTCACTGAACTATAATAATTATCAATTCTTGCTCAATCTTGTTTCATCTTTAACCACACTCACTGCCCCTTCCCACTAGGCCTCATGTAATTTCAAATCTGTAAATATTTTCATATGTATCTCTGAAAGTGAAATAAATTTTAATTCATAACCATAAACTATTACAGATAAAAAAGAGAATAATCACCCAGAGTCACAGAAAAAAAAAAAATCACAAGAGATATTAGAGATTATTTTGAACAGAATGAAAATAAAAAGGCAACATACCAAAATTTGTGGGATACGGCTTAAACAGTACTTACAAGGAAATAAATAGCTTGCAATGCTTATATTAGAAGAGAAATCTAAAATACATAATGTAAACTTTCATCTTAAAAAGCCAGAAAAGGGGGCCGGCCCGGTGGCGCACTTGGTAGAGTTCGGAGCTTGGGAGCGCGGTGGTGCTCCCACCGAGGGTTCGGATCCCATATAGAGACCGGTCCGCTCACTGGTTGAGCGCGGTGCAGGCACGACACCGAGGGTTGCCATCCTGTTACCGGTCACGAAAAAAGACAAAAAGGAAAAAAAAAAGCCAGAAAAGGAGTAAATGGAAACAAAATAAGTAGTAGGAAGGAAACATTCAACAGCAGAAATCAATAACATAGAAACAGACAAAGCATAGAGAAATCAATAGGACCACGACCTGTTCTTATAAAGGATCAATAAAACTGATACACTTCTAGCTAGATATGAGGAAGACAGGACAAATCACCAATATCTGAAATGAAAGCACATCAGTATAGACCTTGAAGACTTTAAAAAGGATAGAAAATATTGTGAATAACTTCGTTTATAAGTCTGACAACTCATAAAATGCGCAAGTTCCTTGAAAAACACAAACTACCAAAGCTCACCAATGGAAAAAAAAAATAACTAGAATTGTTCTATGTCTTATGAAGGAAACTGGAAATTAGTAATTAAAAAGCTTTCCGGTATTGCCTGTACTATATTGTTTATTTCTTTAAATCAGTCACTTTTAAAATTCAAGAAATCTTATTTTTAACAGGAGATTCTCATTTATTATTATTAATGGAATATTTCGTTTTAAAAGAAAACATTTACTGTTATAAATTAAAAACAGTATATCATTTGACATAAATTGGAAATGCTAGTAACATTAAAAACTGTAAAAAGCAAACAAAACCACAAGTCTTCCCACAAAAAAGGTGAATGGCTTTGGTTGCCTCATTTGCAAATTTTACTAAACATTTAGGGAAGAAACAATATCAATTCTAAAGAAACTCCTCCAGAAAAAAGAAGAGGAGAGAACAATTCCCAGCTCATTTTATGGGTCTGGCATTACAATAATAACAAAACATGACAAAGACATTACAAGAAAACTACAGATGAGTGCACTCATAAACACAGACGTAAAACTCCATAACAAAACTTTAACAAGTCAAACCCAAAAAACATATGAAAAAGATCATGACCAATTTGGTTCACCCCAGGTATGGAAGGTGTATTAATATTCCAAAATCAATCAATATAATGTACTATTATATGTATTTACTATTAATGAACTAAAAGAAACCCAACCCAACCATACAATCATCTCAATAGGTACCGGAAAGAGTATTTGACAAAATACACTCATTTATGAAAAAATGTCTGTAAAGTAAGAATGGAAGATAGCTTCCTTAATCTGATAAAGGGCATTCTGAAGTTCATATACCTAATCATGAAAGACTGAATGCTTTTCCGCTAAGACTGGGAATGAGGCGGGATGTCTGTTCACACCACTTTTATTCAACATTGTACTAGAGTCCTAGCAAGTACAATTAGGCAAGAAAAAGAAATAAAAGATGTACTAACTGGAAAGGCAGAAATAAAATTTTTTTTTTCACTGACAATATGACTATGTAGAAAATCCTAAGGATGTACAAAAGAGCTACCAGAAATAATAAATAAATTTAGCAAGATTTCAGGATACAAGTTCAAATAACAAAAAACAATTTTATTTCAATATACTACCAACAAACAATTTTAAATTAAAAATTTAAAACAATTCCATTCACAATAGCATAAGGATATGAAATACTTTGGAATAAATAAATGTTAACAAAACATGCACAATTGTTTAATGAAAACTAAAGACCATTTTTTTTTTTTTTTGGTGTGGCTATTATCAAAAAGACCCTAAAGACCATTGATGAGAGAAATTAAGAGAGACTTAAATAAAGACTGATACCATCCTCTTGAATTGGTATGTTTCTGATGTCAATTCTTTCCAAATTGATTTATAGGTTCAACACAATCTCAATCAAAACCTTAGCAGGTTTTTTACAGCAACTGAAAAGCTTATCCTAAAATGTACATGGAAATGCAAAGGACCTAGAATAGGTACCGGCTTGACCTTTCTTGTCCAATATCCTCAGTGCCTAGAATTGTGCCTGGCAGATATTTATCTGTACCTTTTTTAATTTTGGCATCAATATTATGTTTATTTCAGAAAAAATGCATTTCTTCCTCTTCTACACACTGAAACAGTTCAAATATTGAACATGTGTTTAAACATTAAACACTGAAGTTACCCATGCCTTTAAATTTTGCTGGGACATTCATCTGTGAAACCATATGTGCTTGGTGCATGTGGGGATGGGGTGGGTAGGAAGCATTTTTACTTTCTTTTCCTATGGGTTAACTGGCATCCTTAGATTTTTCTATCTTGTTTTGGGTAACTTCTGGTAATACATTATTGAAAATTATCAATTTTACCTGCATATATGGATATTTACAGACAACCAAGCAAATTAGTGTTAAATTATTCTTTTAATAACGGGTACATGTGTAATTATGACCCCATTCTCTGATTTTGTATATCTGTGCTCTCTTTTAAAAATTATGGAATGAAAGAACTAGATCTCTGTATAATATGAATTTTTACTAGCTATTTCTGGAGGAACTAAAATAAAAACTACCTCAGGCATAATTCCTTTAAATTTTGAAATAATAGTTATTACTTTAACATGCATGTAAGTTGCTTACCAATGGCTTAATAAAAATACCTTTTTTGATCAATTTCTTGTTGCTGTTTAACATGTTTGTTCTCAAATTTACGAATATTTTCCACACCAATTTCTTCACAGAAGCGTTGACAAATATCATCTTCTACCTTTTAAATGATTTTAAAACAGGTTTAATAATTTTAGGAAACATATAGACGAATGCTTAAATATAAATTTTTCCCCCTTACATTTTTGTGGATTAGGTCAAAAACTAATTCTTCCAAACATTACTGTATTCTGAGGAGCCAGTGCTTTCTCTTCCTTTAATTCCATAAACTATGTCCATCTATTTTCAAATTTCTTATTCAGAAAACCAATAAAGAAAGCTTGAAATTGGCTTTATTAAGTGTTTTGTCTTTATGAAGTGTTTAATATCAAATTGGCAAGATTTAGTCACTTACTTTAGTCACACCAAAATATAACATTCTATGTAAACAGAGAAAACATTCTTTCATATGTGTAATGCTATAGCATCTTAGACAGTATAAAAACAAGAGGAATAAAGCATAGAATTAAGAACCAAAAAGATTTGTAATGGGCCAGCCCGTGGCTCACTCGGGAGAGTGTGGTGCTAATGACACCAAGGCCATGGGTTCAGATCCCATATAGAGATGGCCGGTTGGCTCACCTGGGAGAGCGTGGTGCTGACAACACCAAGTGAAGGGATAAGATCCCCTTACCAGTCATCTTTTTTGGGGAAGAAAAAAAAAATAGATTTGGAAAAACTAGAATGAGCTAAATCCAACAAAATAAAATTTAACTCAAATATTTTTAAAGCCCTGCATGTAAGTATAATTGTATGATGAGAGAGACCTGTCTCAACAGAAGGACATGTTAAAAACTTTTAGATTTTAGGTGAATGTACATGAAATATAAATGTGATAAGATTGATGCAGTAGATCAATCCAATTAGCACAAGTAGATAATCCAAATCATGGAAAGTTATACACACAGCGTTATATGCATGATTCTTTGTACTGATCAGAAAATATTTTGAGGGGCCGGCCCGGTGGCGCACTGCTACAGTGTGCCGCTTGGGAAGCGTGGTGGCGCTCCCGCCGAGGGTTCGGATCCCACATACAGATCGGCCGCTCACTGGCTGAGCGAGGAGCGGGGGCAACACCGAGGGTTGCGATCCCGTTGCCGGTCCCGGTCCAGTACGGGCGCGACACTGAGGGTTGCGATCCGTTGCCGGTCACGAAAAAAGACAAAAAGAAAAAAAAAAAAAAGAATAAAAGAAAATATTTTGACATTATGCTCTGTTCTGGGCATTGGCAAACAGCAGAGCATCCAGAGGATGATTACCAAAACTTGCCTTGAATCCATGGTAATGTGAAATGATAATAGAAATTAGGGATATTTAACCTGGAGAATAGATAATTAATGAGCAACGTGAGTCTGGTTTCAAATCATGTGATAAAAAGCAGAACTAAAAGCAATGGATGCAAGTTACAGAGTGATGATCTGACAAGTAACTCTTGGAGGATCAGAAATACCCAACGGTGGAATAAGTTAAATTAGAAATTTCCTGACACTTTTTAAGCAGAGGCTAGATAACCAAATCTTTCTTGCCCCAAGAGCCAAGCACCATGCCTGGCATTTAATAGATGTTAGAAAAAAATAACTATTGAGTAAATGAGGAATCTTAAAAGATAATGTAAATGACAGTTCTCTACCCCCTGGTGTCAAGGACAGTGGGATAAAGGAAGAGACTGTAATTTTGACAATGGGCAAGGAGAGGTTGGATGGAAGGCAGTGTGCACTTGTCATTGTCTCTTGAGATGGGCAATAGCGGTTCTCAAAAGATACAAGGAAACTAGTTTGGAAAACCAGTAAAACTTAGCTTACGTGTTGTCTCTGATAGGGCATGGTTAACTATCATCGTTTGCTTTAGCACATATTCAAGAAGTCCTAAATCTGGTATCTGGTCTAGAACTATATTCTATATGCCTTTCAGTAATAAACATAACATTTATGACCTTATCAATCTTTTCTTGAAATTCTTTAATTCTTTGTTGTCGTTCTTTGATTCCTTCGCTCAGCATAGAACACTGAGACTCAATAACGTGACGGGCCGGCCCGGTGGCGCACTGCTACAGTGCGCCGCTTGGGAGCGCAGCGGCGCTCCCGCCGAGGGTTTGGATCCCACATACAGACCGGCCGCTCACTGCCTGAGCGAGGTGCGGGCACAACACCGAGGGTTGCGATCCCGTTGGCGGTCCTGGTCCGGTACGGGCGCGACCGGGACGGGCGCGACACTGAGGGTTGCGATCCGTTGCCGGTCACGAAGAAAGACAAAAAGGGGAAAAAAAAAAAAAATTGAATGCATGTTATATATTGAAGGTCTTCTAACCTATGAATATAGCATGTCTTTCAGTTGTTTTATGTCTTTCAATAAGATACAGTTTTCTTTTTAAATTAAAAAAATTTTTTTTCGTTGTACATGTTTATGGGATAGTTTTTTGTTTCAATACATGCATATATTGTACTATGACCTAATCAGAATAGTTAGCATATCCACCACCTAAACATTTATTATTTATTTGTGGTTAAAACATTCAAGATCCTCTTTTTTGGCTATCTTGAGATATACCATACAACATTATTAGCTATTGCCACCCTAGGGCACCAGAACTTATTCTTCCTATCTAACTGTAACTTTGTACCGGTCTGCCAACCTTTCCCCAGTCCCCTGCCCCCTCCCATTGGTAACCACTATTCTACTCTCTATTTCTCTTCTTTTGTCTTTTTATTTTTCTTAATTGACCCATGATAATTGCTTATCTTTATGGAGTTACTGTGCCTTCATATATACATTTATTCCTATGGTGAGCAGAATATTTTTTCCCTTTTTAGATGCAAAAATATAAACTATGCCTTTATATTCATAAGGGAAGTCAGTCGTTAGTTTTGTTTTTTGTATATCTTTATATTTAATATTAAAGTTATACTATCTTTGTAAAATGAACTGGGAAGTTTCCATCTTCTTTATGAGTTAGAATGGTTTACATAACATTAGAATTATATCACATAGACCTCAGCCAGCTATAAACCCAGAGTCTTTTTTTTTTTTTTAATTTGTGGTAAAATTCACATAAAATTTACTATCTTTACCATTTTTAAGTGTACAGTTTACTGTTTAAATATTGAATGTCATGCAATAATCTTCTGAACTGTTCATTTTGTAAAACTGAAACTCTAAGTCCATTAAACTACTCATTCTCCGTTCCCCCAGCCCACTGTACGCACATGTATATACCACATTTTTATCCATTCGTCCACCGATGGACACTTGGCTTGCTCCTACCTTTTAGCTATTGTGAATAATGCTGCTATGAACACGGGTGTACAAATATCCCTGAGACCCTGCTTCCAATTCTTTTGGGTAGACACCCCAAAGTAGAATTGCTGGATCATTCTATGTTTGAGGAACCACCATACTATTTTCCACAGCAGCTGCACCATTTTATATTCCTTAAGTCGTTTTTCAGTGGTAGATCACCCAACTATCAGTGGCTTTAAATATATTGGTTTTTTTCTTTCCTGCACACAAAAGCAGTGTAGAGTGATGCAGCTGCTCAACAATAGCACCAACTCTCAGTTTCTTAGTACAATGGCTTTTATCTCCTGCTTGCTTTTCTCTTGGTGCAAGATTGCTGCTGCAGCTCCACGGCTCTTAACTGTGTTCTAGGCAGGTAGAAGAAAATGCAAAAAGTAACACTAACACTTCCACTTATATCTCACTGGCCAAAACTGTCACATGGCCACCCCTTGCCACAAGGAAACTTGGGAAATCAACTTGTCTTGTTTTTTTATGATTCTACAATAGAGGCAGGCAAGGAAGGAAGAAATTGTGGATGGGGAATGGGCCAGCCAATTTCACTAATGCCTGCCACTGCATCAAATATCCCACATTTTTTCTGTCCAATCTTGGTAATTAATATTTTCTGAAAATAATTTCTTCCAGATTTTCAGTTTTTTAAACTATATAGTTATTTGCATCTAAGATTCTTTAAAGTTTTTTAATTTTCTCATTCCTGATCAAATATGTTTGCTTCTAGCTTTTCTTTCCTTCATTAGGGTTTCAGAGTTTATCTATTTTATTAGCTGTTCAAAGGAAACAGCTTTGCAAAGAATTTATTTTATTAGTCATTCAAAGGAACCAGATTTTTTAGATTAATTTGTCCCATTTCTGTTGTAATTAATTTCAGCTTTGAAAAATAAAAAAAAAAAAGTCTTGTTATTTTGTGGTTGTTCTAATTTCTCAAGGTGAGTAGTAAGTTCTCTTGTATTTCATCTTTCTTCTTTAATAATTAAGACATTTTACTCTTGATGTAGTTTTCACTGTGTCTCAAAAATAATGGTAAGGGGCCAGCCCGTGGCTCACTCGGGAGAGTGTGGTGCTGATAACACCAAGGCCACGGGTTTGGATCCTATATAGGGATGGCCGGTTAGCTCACTTGGGAGAGCGTGGTGCTGACAACACCAAGTCAACAGTTAAGATCCCCTTACCGGTCATCTTTTAAAAAAATAAATAAAAATTTAAACAAAAATGGTAGGAAGTATATTCATCATTTTCTGGACATTTTATAATTTGCTTCTTGATTACTTCTTGATACGAAAACTACTAGTACATTTAATTTCTATGTAGGGAAAAACTTTTTTGGTCACTATTTCTTATTTCATTAAATTATGATCAAGGTGACCTATAAAAATGTCGACTTTTGAGGTTTCCATTGCGGTCAGCATATGATCAGTTTCTCTAAGTGTTTCATGGGTATTGTTCATTATACGTCACATTTATTGAGCACTTATCATTGTTCTTTGCAGGTTCTATCTATTAACCTACTTAATCCCCTTAACAAGGTTATGAAATCGGTGTTATTATTATTCCCATTCTATTGATAAGGAAACTAAAGCATAAAAGCCTGCGAGTAACTTCGAGCCACACCACTAAAATGTTTCACTATAAGTTTCATCTTTATTAAGAAGTATTCTCACTTTAAATATTTAGGTGCCCTGTGCGGCAAACTGGCTTATAATGGAGAGCTTCGTTTCTTATCACATAACATCTCCTTTGTTCAATTCATTTAATAAATATTTATTGAAAGCGTACTAGACGACACAAGGATTGTTAACTTTAAAGTTCACGTTGTCTGATATTCACTCCTTTGTTTTGTTTTTTGCATTTGTCACGTGCTCATCCCATCATTTTCAACATTCAGTTCTAAGATGACTTCTTGTAAATGATATTTAGGTTTTTAACCTATGACAGTTTCGGTCTTTCAAGGGGAGACTTAAATCCACTCATTTACCATAACGACTGATATGCAAAAATTTTATTCCTTCCCTCTTTTTGTTCTTTTCATTCATTTTTGGTGGTTTGCTATTTGTTTTTGTGTTTAACACTTTGGTTTCAACTCTGTCACTCCCACCCCTCAAGATTCGATCTTTAGAATATTCTCATTTCCTTTCCTCACAGATTCCTCACAGATGAAACTTTGGAACACATTTATATCTCTCTCCATTTCCAATACCTTCGGTTTGCTGTTAGTTTAGCACTATTAATTTATTATAATTAGGTCTATTCTAATTCCTGTGGTGCTTAGAGTACTTTCTCTAGTATCTTTGTCACATGGAGTATATGGATGACATATTCTCTGAATTCGCTTATCTGCAGATTCCTAAAAGGTAAATTGTATCCTGGGTTATAGTCCTTTTACTTGTAGCTATTATTCCATACTTAGAGTACTTTCTCTAGTATCTTTGTCACATGGAGTATATGGATGACATATTCTCTGAATTCGCTTATCTGCAGATTCCTAAAAGGTAAATTGTATCCTGGGTTATAGTCCTTTTACTTGTAGCTGTTATTCCATAGTAGCATCCAGTTCTGTACTCTAATATAAGCTTGATTTTTTTAAACCTAGAATTTTTTTTTTCTTGAAAAGTGGGGGGGAGGGTAGTTTGGCACCGATTCTATAACCTACTAATTCTATAACCTAGGCATTCACGAATTACACCAAGATCTGCATCATTGTAGCCTTCTCTCACCAAACCTACATGGGACTGGGACTGAGTGTGTCCTTTCAATGGTATATTAAGATTGCTACTCAGATTAGAGTATTTTTTAAAAAATTTGTTTCCCCTCGTCTGTCTTTCTTTTCATCCTTCTGAGATTTTATTATTCTCAAGTCTCCTGAGTCTATCCGCTAAGGCTCTATTAGCAGATATCTTTATCTTTGTAATTTTGTTCCCCTCCTTGAGATGCTTCTTCCACTTGGTCTTTCAGGTTGCTAATTTGGTTCTCAAAAATGGCAATCCTCTCCTTCAATTCTATAGCTAAGAAATATTTTTAGTTCTAGAAAGTCTCTCTCTCTCTCTCTCTTTTTTTCTTTTGAGGTAATGGGGGTTAGGGTGGGGGTCAAAACTATACTGAATCTCCTTAAGGCTCCTTTACTTTTTTCAGTTGTTCAAGCTGTTGCCTGGCTCCTGGAACACCTCAGATGCTTTTAAGTATTTCTTTGCCCAATGAGGATCAGGTTTGGGTATTAAAGCACCCTAAAGAACAGCAGCCCCACAAACTACTTCGTCAGCAAATAATTAGCTTTGTGGGATTCAAGAAGACCAGGCATACTCACATGGGACAAATGTTCAATTTATCCTTAGGATCCCCATGTCCTGATTCTTCCCCAGGTGCTCTTTACAGATGAAGAGGAAGAAACTCTGCATCAGTTTTTCCGAGCAGCCTCCCCGAGAACCCAAGATATCATTCCCACCCAGCTGTCACTTGGTTCAGGTGAGACACACAGGTGGGAAGTTAATATGGACATGGATAGAACAGAAGTCATTTCAAATTGCCAGCTTCTCAGAACTTTCTCTGGGCCTAGGCCTAAATTTATAAAATTTCTAAAAGCTGTATATTTCTATACCTTAGACTAAAACATAAAATGTGGTATTATGCTTACAGAAAAAGATTAAAACATGCTAAGTAACCTTGCCAAAAATCAAGTTATTGATTCAATCCTTGAGTTTTTGACTCAAGTATCAAAAACTGGTAATTTGTATACACAAAAGAAGAAACCTAAATAGGAAAAATAAATTATCTGGAAGCATTCTATCAATTTACTATGTAAAGTTGACATTTCAAGTATGTGTGTGTTGTAAAGTTGACATTTCAAGTATGTGTGTGTGGGGGGGGGAATTACACTATTCACCAAATGATACTTCTATAAAATGACAAGTCAATTGGTAAAAATAAGGTTGGACCCCCAATCATCAAAATAAATTCCAAAGGAATAAAAAAATGTAAATGTTAAATACGCAAAAGCACTAGAAGCATTATTGATTTTCTTTTGTGAGCTTAAGAAAGAATTACATCTTTCTAAGCATGATATATTACAAAATTCAGAAATTATAACTGATTAATAAATTTGGCTACATAAAGATTAAAAGCACATGTATGACAAAAAAGAATAAAGTCAAGCGTCACACAGATAAATAGGAATAAACTGTTGATACACACACAAGAGTATCAAAAACACTAGGCTAAATAAAGAAAGCATGGACAAAAACTTCTTACTGTATGATTCCATTTAAATGAAAGCTTAGAAGAGGAAAAACTATGACAGAAAGATTTCATTTCCAGGGCCTAGGGGGCCTAGGGGAGGGGACTGACTGTAAAGGAGCACAAAGGAATGTGGGGGGGTGTTGGTAATGGAAATGTTCTATGTCATGGTTGTGGTGGTGGTTACATAATGACATACACTTGTCAAAATATATTCAATTACACATTAAAAATGGGTGACTGTTATTGTATGCTAATTATACCCCACTAAAGCCAATTCCAAAGTCAAACAGAAAATATTTACAACAGAAGAGTATATGACTAAGGGGAGATTTATTTATTATAAAAATAACTTTAAATAGGTAATAAAAAAAAAACCTAATAGAAAAATGTGCACAGAAAATAAACACACAGTTCTTCACAGAAGAAAAAATTACAAAGAACCAACAAATACACGAGATGTTCAACCTGTTATAATTTAAGAAATGAATATCAAACTAGATTACAGTTTTCTATCAATCAAATTGACAAAGATTAAAATATTTACTAATACCCAGTGCTGCAATTTAGGACCATGCACGCCCTACTACAAGTTTTCTTTTGATGAGAATTTAGCAATATCTATCAGCATTTCATTTATTTATATTTTTGGTGGCTGACTTGTACAAGTATAGAACCCTTGACCTTGGTGTTATAACGTGACTCTCTAACCACCTGAGCTCATCGGTCAACTGTCTATTAACATTTTAAGTCCACGTATTCTTAGACCCAGAAATTCCACTTATAGAAACTCATCTCAGAGATATAGTTATACAAATAAAGACATAATACCAACATGCATTTATAGCGTGCTTCATAACCCACGACTTGTGTTCAGTATTTTATCTGAATTATTTGATTTATTCCTTATAATAGCACTAAATGGTAGGTTCTTTTATTATCCCCATTTTACGGATGGGGAAACTAAGGTACAAAGAGGTCAGGTAACTTGCCCAGGGTCATACCACTACTAAGTGGCAGTCAAGATTCAAACCCAGGCAAGATGGCTATAGAATTTACTCTTAGGTACTATGTTATTCTCCATCTCTAAAGAATGTTTAATGTTGCACCATTTGTAACAGCAAAATACAAATCAATAGGAGAGTGGTTAAATAAATAAACCCATAATAAAATACCAGGCAGAATTCATTAAAAAATAAAGTAACTTTCTATATGTGAAAATAAAAACATGTCATTTTATGGTATTAAATGAAAAAGCTTGCTGTGAACACTACTTTAGCACAACTTCAATTTAAAACAAAGAAAATAAGAAATGTAATACATATACTTGCATATACGGAGAACACTTCAGGGGGCTAAGCATCAAACTGTTTAGAAAATACCACTGGGATATAAGGATGGGTAAAGGAAAGATTTTTATTTTTATTACATTCTGCATTATTTGAATATTTTAAAATTATAGGCATGCTACTTTTACTACCAAAAAAATAAAAATAAAAAACCAACCTGGATTAAAAACACACTAGCTTATTCCACTAGTATTTTATAACTTTTATGACATGGATTTACCTTCAGCTCTTGGATTAGCTGGCTTCTTCTTTCTCTTAGATTCGTTAACTCTTTCTCATCCCAGCATTTAGCCTTGTGTTTTAAATCACTTGACCCTCCAGAGATCACCCCAGATTTTAAAAATAATGTTCCATCAAGAGCCACTGTCTGTAAAATTAAAAATATTTCACCTTGAAAATAATGTACATAAAGAAGATAAAAATAAGGACATAATGTAGCAATTTGTGCAGCTGAAAATTTGAAGATGAGAAAAACCATTTAGTATACTTTACTAATAAAATATGTAGTTCATGAAGCGACACCAACGAAGAAACAAACCACAAATACAAAAATCTTTTCACTAACGCCCAAAGTAATTCTAGGCAACAAATTTACAGCAATTATAAAGGTTCGAAATAAGTTGAAATCAGGTCCAAACATATTCAACACCGGGAAGCAAAAACTAAGAATATTTATATTTAGTATCAAATAGTTTGCATTACATAGTTCTGTATCTTGAGGAAACTTGTCATATATGTTAATGGCATATTTTGAAAATAGCCTTAATAATATTAGGATACCCAAAACATCACTCTCTCCAAAATGGATGTGAAACTGGAACCAAGAAAAAAATTTAAATGGGGACAAGATATATAATACAGCCTGAAGTTTATAGTCCTGTTAGTAAGCATGTGCTTTATGGAGTAAGTGAAAGGCTCCACTGATTCCCTGCTTCTAAATTGTTCTCAATAAAGCGTATTTAACCTATACACTGTGTGTACTACTGTTCTCAATAAAGCGTATCTAACCTATACACTGTGTGTACTACTAATATGTGTATGTCAATGTCTCTTATATGACAACCTTCAAAGTCCTTGTGAGGTCCAAGATGATTCATAGAGTTTCAGCCATAGTGTCTGTGCTTCAAGAAAGAAGACAGGAAGGGAGAGTCAGGGTAAAAGGGCCCTATAAGGAAGCTTTCCTAGCAGGTCCACCTATGACTACCATTTACATCCAGTGGCTACACCTAGATTGCTACACAATGAAATCAAGGTCCATGAGTAAGGGAGAAGTAGAGAGGAATATTGAGCAGGCAGTTGTCTCTGACACAGACAGGAGGTAGCCAGGGAAAGGGCAGTGCTGGCATGCTGGCGGGAAAGGCATGAATGCATAAAATGGACTGTGTATGAGTGTGCACGTGTCACAGGGATGGGATGGGGAAAGAAGGAACATAAAAGGGTTTGGAATTCCTGGATGAATTAAGGAGCAACATAGAGACGAGGCTAGTAGACAGGCCAGATCTTTGTAAGCCATCTAAGAATGTGTATGGAATTCCATTGAGGACTAGAGGAGCTTATAGAGGGAGCTGAGCAGGACTGGCTCTGAACACTCTGACACCCAACAGAAAGAAAGAAATGACAGAGAGGAGCCTTAGATAGACCATCCTGACAACTATTTGGAAAATGCATTAGTCCAGCAAGGCCAGAGATGATGGTATAAATTCAGCCAATATTACTGAGGGTGAAGAAAAGGAAAAAATGATTTAAGAAATATTCAGGATATATAAGAGGAAGAGCCTGGGGATTGTTTGGATGTAGAGGTTAGGAAAGACTCCCTGGGGAAACAATAGGATTTTGTTTGGCTGGAATAGTATTATCAAGAATTGAGTTGAAGAATACAGAAGAGAGATCAAGATTTAGAAAAGAGAATGGGAATTTCATTTTAGACATACTGATTATATAGCACTTGTGGGCTAGAAGTTTACTTATTTATAACGTGCACCTTGACTATTTTGTTAAAGAATTTAATTCTCATAGATTCCAAAAAAATTATAACATGTTAATATACAATCAGACAGCTACAAGTATTAATTAAAATAAATGTAAGAAATTATACTAGGTGGAAAAAGAAGACAGTATAATTAATAATTTAGAATACTATAATGACTAAATTCTAATATTATAACCACTAAATTCAATTAAATAAGAAAAAGATAAAATATTCAATATATTATATTGCGGCAAGTAATTAACCATTTAGGCAAAAAAAGCTAATACTCACATCTAACAATGCACATCA